CAGATCGCTTTCCCCCTCCCTGTACTGGGGGATCTTTTTCGTATATTGGAGATAACAAGTCTTTTCAACCCTAGATTTGTTACAAGGGTTTTGGCAAGTCCCTCTTCACGAGGACAGCCAAGAGCTAAATGCATTCTCCACTCCTACAGGTCATTATCACTACCTCCGAATGGCATTTGGATTACGATCTTCTCCTATCACGTTCTCAAGGCTCATGACTAATACTTTAGAGGTCCCCATAGGTAATCACTTATGGTGTACTTAGATGACGTAATCGTCATGTCTAAAGACGTGGATACACACTTGAAAAAGACTTGATGTAGTACTTGGTAAGCTTGAAGAAGCCAATTTAAGATCAAACTGTCAAAATGTCAATTTTCAGATCAGAAATTAAAGTTTCTTGGTCACGTAGTCACTCCTAGAGGGGTTACGACGACCAAAATAAAGTAACTGCAGTACTAAATTTTTCCCAAATCCCAAAACTGCTGATGCCGTAAGATCCTTTGTGGGCTTAGCAGGTTTTTATAGGCTTTCATTGCAATTTTTCTTCCATAGCTGCTCCTCTAACTGAGTTGCTTAAGAAAGATGCTCCTTTTGTTTGGACCTTCGTCAAGAAAGAGCATTCCAAACTCTAAAAGAAAAACTAACTTCTGCTCCAATTTTGAAATTTCCAGATTTTCTAAGCCTTTCTATCTGACAACTGATGCTAGTTCAATTGGCATAGGTGCCGTACTAGCTCAGAAGACCGATGGCAAGTACAACGCAGTTGCCCTTTGCTAGCCGAGTCCTTACAAAGGCTGAAAAGTAATTATACAGTAACTGAGCAAGAAGCTTAGCAATAGTATGGTCTTTAAAGCACTTCCCAGACATTATTTATCAGTACTCTGTTCATGTCTTGACAGATCATGCTCCACTGATACCCCTTTTTCCAGAACAAACAACCTACTGGAAGGTTAGCTAGATGGACCTTGACTATCCAAGAGTTCAATCCCACCTTTGAGCATTTACCTGGCAAGTCAAATGTAGTCGCAGATGCCTTATCGCGACATGTTAGTATAGTAACTGCAGACCCTCCATTTAGTGCTGAAGATGTAAAAGAATGCTCAACGAAAAGATCCCATGTGGTTGGTGTGATTCGATTCCTGCTCCAGGAAGATCTTATTTTGATGTTTAAGCCACCAGCACCCATCAGTGACTTTCTCATGAACCAAGAATTACTGTATCGAACAGCCGAGTTTGGGTACTCCTAGCAGAAGAGTATACCCGTTAGTAATTCCACAGTACTAGTGAATGTAGCTTACAGCTAGTTCACGTTTTACCAGGTGTTGCACACCCCGGTATGGATCGTTCAGTAAAACAAGCCAGATTGAAATACTTTTGGCCTCTATGGCAACTGATATTTCTGAGTTATGTTAGGAAATGTAGTGTCCCGCATGCAACATAAAGGCAATGCTAAATGGTCCTAATCCAATCCAAGTGTATCCAACTACTAGCGAACCTTGGGAAAGAGTTGCGCTAGAATTTGTTAACTAATTTCCAATGTTCCTCCAAGGTAAAAAACATCTGTGTGTTATGGTAGACCCTTTCACCAGATATTGCAGTTAGTTTTCCCATTGCAGATAAACTGCCGAGACAGGGAGCTAAAGCGTTTTAAAGAACGCATTTTTGCAGGCATACCACCCCTAAGTCCCTAGTAACAGATAATGGAGGTGAATTCTGTAATGAATTCTTGAAATTTGTGTACCTTGTACAAGATCACTAAATCCACCATTGTTCCTCATCATCCTGCCAGCAATGGGTTAGCGGAACGAACCAATAAGAAAGTTTGATGTCTTGAGAGCCACTATCAATCCCAATAGTGAAACTTGGGATGAAGTTATACCTGATGTGCAGTGTGCTATAAATTCTGCTTACAATGTTTCATTGGTGACACTCCACATTAAAGCATTGTACGGTGTAAAATAAACGTTTGCCTTATGAGTTGTTGTATTCTAATCCGAAACCAAATTACAACCCTGATGATTTCGTAGCAACTCGTAAACCCGCTTAGCTCAAAGTGTTTTTAGAAGAATCCGTGAAACACTTCATAAATCAACAGCTGAATTTACAAGAGTCGCAAACACTCGATCAAAGCCATCCCAAAAACAAAGTAGGTTCGAGAGTTATGCTGATAATTTTAACAAAACGTCTGCAATGCCCAAAACTTGATCAAAGGTTTGTTGGTCCTTATCGAGTAGTTGAACATATCACTGGAAATAAGTATTAGGTTTAAAAGATAAAATACTGGTCAGTATAAAGAATCGCATTTGGATCATATGAAGTTAGTTATGTTGATAATGATGGGTTTCCCAACCCAGACTAATGTGACAGACTCTGACAATCCTCCTGATCCTGTACTCTCTTCCTCTGATACTCAGTCAGACGATCAACCTGAATGTCGTTATTCCTACGTACACGACAGGTATTGAAAATCCTCAAGTATCATTTGTAACTTCCAATTCAGATTTGCCTCAAATGCAGCATGAGTTTAGCCAATGCTACAGAGTTGATCCTCCCCGAGATGACACCCATTCTGCATATGTCAATCACACTCTAGCAGAGTTGGGGTTAAATGTAAATAACCTGTATAGATGAATAGTTACAGTATCAACTTTTTCATTTCAAGAAATTTTTTTTTTGTGTTCATGTTCTCTCCCCATTCTGAGAGTTAACAGTCTAGATTTGCGTTTCACCGAATCTGCCTTTCTGTTAAACACTCCTTCTTTGTATATATTCCTTCCTCAGAATCCGTAGATCACACGAATACAGATCGATCGATCAAAATTTTTTTTTTATCACTGTAATCTCAATGTTGAGTTCGTTGTTCATTTGTTGAGTTCTAAGTTGTACTATAGTATACCTTGTATTGCATTACAGTTTCCGTTAAGTAAGCTTTCATTCCAATGTTCTCCTTATGTATCTAAATGTTTCATGTTGTGGGACTTTGACATTGTATAGAATCAGCCCAAGCCGTATACCTACCATCTCTAGTTTGTATTAGTTGTATGTCGGGACGACATACGTTAGCGTCGCCGAGCTCTCAGTAGTAGTAACGTAGTAACCAGTTACCAGTAACAGTGTCCGTTGACTCACGACCAACCGTCTTGAGTCACGGTCTTCATATTGTACTGAGTTGACACTATTTCAAAACACCCACTACGGGGTACTGGGCAGACCGGCGAGCGAGTTTTACACGAGTGAGCAAGGAGATAGGTACGGCTGGCAAGAGCTCTGTCCACATAACAGCAATATACGTAAAACAGCCTACGTGAGTATTTCTACCCTAATCCACGTATACGAACTCCCACATGATAACTGAGGAGGTGAAGAAGCTGCTAAGGGACCTTGATATCTCAAAGGCAATGGGACCAGACATCTCCCCGTGGGTCCTTAGAGAGGGAGCAGAAATGCTGTGTGTGCCAATAACCACAATCTTCAACACATCCCTTGAAACTGGGCAACTACCTGGAAAACGGCAAATGTGGTACCCATATTTAAAAAAGGAGACAGAAAAGAGGCACTGAACTATAGACTGGTGTCACTGACGTGCATAGTATGCAAAGTATTGGAGAAGATTATCAGGAGGAGAGTGGTGGAGCATCTGGAACGGAACAAGAGTATAAATGCCAACCACCATGGATTTATGGAAGGCAAATCCTGTGTCACAAACCTACTGGAGTTTTATGAAAAAGTAACAAAAGACACGAGAGAGGGGTGGGTTGATTGCATCTTCTTGGACTGCAAGAAGGCCTTCGACACAGTTCCTCGCAGGAGATTGGTGCAGAAGCTAGAGAACCAGGTGCGGGTAACAGGAAGGGTGTTGCAATGGATCAGAGAATACCTGACAGGGAGGCAACAACGAGTCATGGTACGTAATGAGGTATCACAGTGGGCACCTGTGACGAGCGGGGTCCCACAGGGGTCGGTCCTAGGACCAGTGCTATCACTGGTATATGTGAATGACATGATGGAAGGGTTAGACTCAGAAGTGTCCCTGTTCGCAGATGATGTGAAGTTAATGAGGAGAATTAAATCAAATGAGGATCAGGTAGGAGACCTGGACAGGCTGGACACCTGGTATAGCAACTGGCTTCTCGAATTTAACCCCGTCAAATGCAAAGTCATGAAGTTCGGAGAAGGGCAAAGAAGACCACAGAGTATAGGCTAGGTGGCCAAAGACTGCAAACCTAGCTCAAGGAGAAAGATCTTGGGGTGAGTATAACACCAAGCTCGTCTCCGGAAGCACACATCAACCAGATAACTGCTGCAGCATATGGGCGCCTGGCAAATCTGAGAATAGCGTTCCGATACCTTAGGAGGGAATCGTTCAAGACACTGTACACCGTGTACGTCAGGCCCATATTGGAGTATGCAGCACCTGTTTGGAACCCACACTTGATCAAACACGTTAAGAAATTAGAGAAAGTGGAAAGGTTTGCGACAAGGTTAGTTCCAGAGCTAAGGGAAATGTCCTACGAAGAAAGCTTAAGGGAAATCGGCCTGACGACACTGGAGGATAGGAGGGTTGGGTTAGGAGAGACATAACATACAAAATACCGCGTGGAATAGACAGGGTGACAGAGACAGGATGTTCCAGGGAGGGGACACACAAACAAGGGGTCACAATTGGAAGTTGAAGATCCAGATGAGTCAAAGGGATGTTAGGAAGTATTTCTTCAGTCATCGAGTAGTCAGGAAGTGGAATAGCCTAGCAAGTGAGGTAGTGGAGGCAGGAACCATACATAGCTTTAAGATGAGGTATGATAAAGCTCATGGAGCAGGGAGAGAGAGGACCTAGTAGCACTCAGTGAAGAGGCGGGGCCAGGAGCTGAGTCTCGACCACTGCAACCACAATTAGGTGAGTACAATTAGGCGAGTACAAACACACACGCACACAAACAATAGTCTGAGTAAGGGCTGGAAGGGAACTGGCAACTACAGAGAGCAAGAAGTACACATGCACTAGGGTGCCAGAAGGTCAAGACGGGGAGCCCGGCCCTATGGCACAATGGCAGTGAGAGTGCCTGGGTTCACTTGCACCCTAGCAATAGTCAGTTCTCGTCTCCCACTGGTGTCACCTCCAGCCCTGAGTGTTCTCGTCTCCACCACACTTACTGGTATTACTAGACTTAGCCAGAGTTCCTGCAACTACGTAAATCAGTGCTTCCAGGCCACGATATTTTAAATTGTGCTTTTCCCACAAAAAAAATCGTATAGCTATTAATCTACATTAAAGGATGTATATTTTGTATATAATTTTTAATATGTAATTATTATTTGTTTGATGTATGGGATATATACTGACCTGTTGATGTTTTCGCGCATCATCGACCCCGCTGCCCGGTCACGGACCAGACCTTCTGATTGATGATCTGATCAGTCATGCTGTTGGTGTCGGTCAAGTCCGAAGTATGCATCTCAGTTCGGCTGATCAGGAGCAACTTGGAAAACTTATCAAGTTCCCTCTTGAAAGTAAATGGACACATGCACAATTAATACATTTACTGCGAAATGTAGCCGCAGTAAATTTGTTAATTGCGCTGTGTGTCCATACAATGTATGGACACACAGGGCATACTTGTATAAACGGAGCGTAATGTGTCCTGAAGGTGGTTCATTCTTGATAGTAGCAGTGGTAAACGTAGCAGCAGTGGTAATAGTAGTAACAGTGGAGTAACAATAGTGTTGGGTGAACAGGTAGTAATTGGTAATCTGTGTATACAATCACTTCAAGGGAGAGTGAAAATGGAGAGTTGTGGAGCAGATTTATGGATTCAGTAGGAAACTTTATCTGAAGGCTGTGAGCACCCAGACGCTTGATCAAGTAACGACTGCTGTGAGCGCCCAGAAGCTTGGCCAAGTATCGACTGCTGTGAGCGCCCAGAAGCTTGGCCAAGTAATGATTGCTTCAAATGTCCATTTTGCTGAAGTGTCCCAAGATTATTAATTAGTGGCCTGACAAAGCTGCTGGTGAGCGAAACGTAGCCGCAGTAAATGCCCTATTATTTGCGGTGCCCATTTACCCAACAATAATGTTACTGATCTTAGCAATAATTAATCAAATACCGTCTTGAAGACAGCTTGGGGGAAGGATCGGGGTTAGTAATTCCTGTTATATTTGAAGGGCCTCTCCACACTGATTTATCTGTGTACTTGCTGCAATCCTGCTTTCCATGTTGGCGACTTTACAAGTGCACTGTTCATCTCTCTCTGGAAATAGGTAGCTTCACTGTGAGATTTGGAATCAAGCCATTCTAGCATTTTCCAAGCATAAATTATTATAAATCTGTATTGTCTGCGTTCTCAATTATTTGTGTGTTTAAATAGATGTTGACAGTGAAAGTTCCCTGTACATTCTCCTGGTCTGCAATTTAGCCAGCATTACTTAATGGGGCTGTGTACAACACTATTTTACTCTAGAATACAAATGTATTACTATCATTTCCCTGGCATCACTTAGTACCCTTACTCTCAAGGTTCTTGTCATTTAGTGTATAATTTTCTTTGCAGTTTTGATAGTAACACTTTGGTTATTCCTTGACCCCATTACTTTCCGGCTACTTGGTCATTCCCACGTAACTTGCAGTATTTTGTATTACGTTTTGGAAGGAACTGTAAATTCTGCTGGGACCAAAAGGTCATTGAATGCACTATGCAGTACAAGAGTTCACAGATATGTTTTTTCCACATACGCCAAAACAATCTCCCAATTAAAGGCCACTCAAGCTCTTGAAAACAATACAGTCAGAAAAGGTTAAAATATTCCGCAATAATACATCAACAGTTGAAATTCAGCAATAGGCTGGGAGTTTTACTTCAAGACTTCTCAGAACTGTGAGAGCTGAGAGGTGAAGGATTATTAAGAGTGAAATCTTGCATCACTAGAAGACTGGAGGACCTGGAGGAAATATGATCACAAATTATATGATCCTCAGAAACACTGGCAAAGATTGGGACGGATTTGAGATAGGAGGAAACAAAGAATTTGAAGCGAAGTTCAAATAAGCCAAAGGGACATTAGAAGGTAATGAACAAGCTATACAATATAGGCAAGTAAGTAGTGTAAATCATCTCAACACGAGGACTCAAATGTAGATAATATATCAAAACCGAAACTGGCAGTTACACCAGTTCATCGAAGTGTAAAGTAGTTGGGGGCAAGAGCTAGAGCTGAACCTCAGCAGACAATTAGACAAGTAAAACTAGTTGACTACACCTTTGACAATCACCCACTTCACAAGTATTGTCCACCCAGCACAACCCCTGACCAATGAGAATTTCCCAAGTCCTTACGCTAAGTGAGTTCACTAACTCGTACACACCTATCCCTTCAAATAATTACCTCGCACAACTACTTTGCAGATCTAGTTGGCGGACCTCTGTCAATCCACAACTCTACCTGCAAATTTCAGCCCTAATCACCCTGATGGCCTTGTTAATAACCTTGGCCCTGATGATCGAACTGGTCATCTCGGGTCATGCCAGGACACTGCAACTTAACTACCCACCCCAGAGATCAGCAGAACCGCTAAACGTCTTCCACGGCAACAATCACAACTACGACGACAGCTACGTGTACGACGCTTCCAAAAGGTGAGGCAGAAAGGTTTGATCACATAACAGCATAAAGAGAGCGTCCCTTGGGCGGGTTAGGTTTGTGGATTGTATACTCATGTCTGTTTATATGTCTGCTTGCGTGTGTTTCCTTGCCTGCCTGCATGTGTTTGCTTGCCTACCTGCCTGCTTGCGTGTGTTTGTTTGCCTGCCTGCTTGTGTTTGCTTGCCTGCCTGCCTGCGTGTGTTTGCTTGCCTGCCTGCGTGTGTTTGCTTGCCTGCCTGCTTGTGTTTGCTTGCCTGCCTGCTTGCGTGTGTTTGCTTGCCTGCCTGCTTGCGTGTGTTTGCTTGCCTGCCTGCGTGTGTTTGCTTGCCTGCCTGCTTGCGTGTATTTGCCTGCCTGCCTGCTTGCGTGTATTTGCCTGCCTGCCTGCTTGCGTGTATTTGCCTGCCTGCTTGCCTGTGTGTGCGTGTGTGTGTGTACCTGCTTGCCTGTTTGTTTGCTTCCCTACTTGCTTATCAACCTGCTTTCTTGTTTCAATTTGCTTAGTAAGTTGTCAGGCAAAAGCGTTAGCAGTGTTGACGAGGTGATGGTGACGGACGTCTACTGTTCTTTGCCTGTAAGCGGTTTTGATGGTTCTTTAACCCTCGCAGCCCGGCCTAAGGATAGATTTCCTTGTTGACTGCCTTGTCAACCAGGCTGCTTTTACTAGCAGCTCTCAAGCTAGCTTATCAACTACCAGTGTTTGTAGCATATACTTGCTCCTCTTCCATCTCCTTCCATCACGCCAATGCAATATTTGTGAAGAATTATTTTTTAACATATTCGGCACCGCTTTTTATTCCTCATTTCATAAACATAACGTCAAAATCTACTAGTAGATGGCGCAAAGAAACGTTTATATTCCGCATTTTGTGTCATCTTTTCTGTCGTTATATTTCCTTTTCTCTTAGTAACCCAAGGTAGCAGTGTGTGCGCGTGCATATATATATATATATATATATATATATATATATATATATATATATATATATATATATATATATATATATATATATATCGTGCCGAATAGGCAGAACTTGCGATCTTGGCTTAAATAGCAAGCCTCATCTTGCCATATAGGACAAGCGAAAATTTGTGTATGCAATAATTTCGCCAAAATCATTCTGAACCTAACGAAAAAAATATATTTCACTGTGTTTGCTTAGTATTAAATTACTGTAAACAAATCTAAAATATATTTAGTTGGGTTAGGCTAAAATAAATTGCGCTCGTTATAATAAGGTTAGGTGAGTTTTCTAAGATTCTTGTGGTGAAAAAATATAAATTTTTACATCAACATTAATGAAAAAAAAATATATCTTTAAACGTATAAGAGAAAATTTCAGAAAGTACTTAATTTTAAATGAGTTCTTGCTAATTGACCAGTTTTACATATTCGGCACGACATATACTTTATATGTATATATATATATATATAATGTATATATATATATAATGTATATATATATATATATATATATATATATATATATATATATATATATATTATATAATATATATAATATATATAACATTGCTATTTTGGCTTAAATAGCAACGCTCTTCTTGTCAAATAAAGCAAGCGAAAATTTGTGTATGCAATATTTCGAAAAAATCATTCTGATCCTAACGGAAAATATATATTTCTTTGTGTTTGTTTATTAATTATAAACTTATCTAAAATATATTTAGTTGGATTAGGCTAAATTAAATTGAGCTTGTTATAAGATTAGGAAAGTTCTCTAAGGTTCTTATTGTAAAAATTAATAATTTTGTACCAAAACATAAATGAAAAAATATATCTTTAAGCGTATAAGAGAAATTTTTAGAAACGACTTAATTTTAAACGAGTTCTTGCTTAATGACCAGTTTTTTCCTATTCGGCACGATATATATATTATATATATATATATATATATATATATAATATTATATATATATATATATATATATATATATTATATATATATATATTCCATTTCGTTACTCTAGCAGCCATTTTATAACATGTCTTTGAACTTTGTTTGATCTCTTCCGGTATATTGTTCTGATGGGTCAAATACTACTGCTTCATATTGTACCATTCGTGTGTATTGAACTAGTTGCACCACAGCCATGCTCAGAGGTTCCCGTCTTCAGCAGTGGTATTAGCGGCATTTTAGCCTTTTTCTTTAGAATACAATCCACGACAGTCGACTAACACCCAGGTTCCTGAGTGACTGAATCCTGCTGATATTCTCACTGCACTACTGAAGTCTCCCATCCTAGGCTGGCAGATTTCAAAATGTTTGTAACCCATGGAATATGACAGGGAAATATAGCTCGCTTTTAATTGCTACTATGTAACTATCATATAAGGGTAGCAGCACACTGTAGATGTATACAATTTTGCTAAGCAAAAATAAAGAAGGCTTCCTTGCCTCCCTCCCATCTTCCTCAGACAGCCTCCTTCCTCTTTGCCTGCCTACCTCTTTCTCTCTTCGTCTCTGCCAGTTGGCCTGCCTGCCTTCTCATTAAGGTCTTCAATCAATCTTATGAGCATGAAGCTTCATATCTTTCATTCTCTCAGGGGAACCTTTAATTTTACGAGCCACAACAGAGCGCCACATCTTTATTTGTTCTATTTTCAAAGTACCAGAACTGCTTGGTTATTCAGTGCTTTAAATATATTTCGTTTCTATCATTATCAAATTTACACTGAGCTGCTTGGTTATTCAGTGCTTTAAATATATTTCGTTTCTATCATTATCAAATTTACACTATCATTATCAACTTTCTGTCGTCGTGACCACTTCCTTCTACTTCATAAATCAATCACAAAAGCAAGTAAAACTACTGAAAGTCAATTTTGTCACATTCTGCAATCCATATCCATAAGCTGTTCAATGTTATTCAGCTATGTCAGCGAATTTAGACGAAATCGGAAATATCCTCACAATTTATGCAGAAAGATATGTTTTTTTTTTAAACAAGCAAGCACTCTGTAGGGAGAGTGTTTTTTTTTTAAACAAGCAAGCACTCTGTAGGGAGAGTGGCACACCTCCGAGAGATGAGGCCCCTACTCCTAGGCACAAACCATACAAACCTCACCGTATTGTTAAGGTGACATAGCGTCGGTAATGAAGGGTAGATCCTTGTGGTAAGATAAGATAAGATTAAGATAAGATTTCGTTCGGTATTCATCACAACGGCCGCTCGAGGGTGTATAGTTGTAGAGATTTTAGGTGTTCCCAACACTTAAGGGTTTAAAAAACTTAACACAGACAATAAATGTGACAATTCTTTATATCTGGGATTTTGGCAGCCATTAAAGGAGGTTTCAGTGGCCAGTTTTATTCCTTTTCCTGTCTTAGAGAATACGATTACTAGCTTGGCATCTCGTATTTAGAAACCTCTTAACCACTCTACTTTGCTAAGTCAAATATTGTGGAAGTATCAGTATGGTGGTGGTGGAAGGTTATAATGGTCGGAAGTGTGGTGGTGTTTTAAGTTGTAGGGTTAGTTGTGAGGCAGGTGAAGATGTGGTGGTGTGGGGTGGTGGGGTGGTGAGTGGTGGGAGTGGTGGGAGTGGTGGTGGTGGTGGGAGTGGTGGTGGTGGGAGTGGTGGTGGTGGTGGGAGTGGTGGTGGGAGTGGTGGTGGTGGTGGGAGTGGTGGGAGTGGTGGTGGTGGGAGTGGTGGTGGGAGTGATGGTGGTGGTGGTGGTGGGAGTGGTGGTGGGAGTGATGGTGGATGTGGGAGTGATGGTGGATGTGGTAGTGGTGGATGTGGTGGTGGCACAGGTGGTGGTGGTGGGAGAGGTGGTGGTGGAGGTTGATTGTAGTGGTGGTGGTGTTGTTAGAAGTGATGACTAGATTTTACGAACTCCACCTCTTGTGTTGCAGGTCTGCGGTACTGGGTTGTAATACAAGCAACTGCCGGTAACATTATAACAAGAATTACTAAAAGAAAAGATCGTCAGACTCGGGAATCAACCTGCATGATTTATATGTATAACACTCTGTACAGTTAGTAGGCGGGTATCGACTGTGGTTGTTAGGTAAGACACATATGCAACAGTTAGGTATCTTTATTTCGAAACGTTTCGCCTACACAGTAGGCTTCCTCAGTCGTGTACAGAAAAGTTGATAGAAGCAGAAGATACTTGAAGACGATGTAATTAGTCCATCACCCTTAAAGTTTTGAGGTGGTCAGTCCCTCAATCTGGAGAAGAGCATTGTTCCATAGAATGAAACATATTGTTTCATACTATGGAACAATGCTCTTCTCCAGACTGAGGGACTGACCACCTCAAAACTTTAAGGGTGATGGACTAATTACATCGTCTTCAAGTATCTTCTGCTTCTATCAACTTTTCTGTACACGACTGAGGAAGCCTACTGTGTAGGCGAAACGTTTCGAAATAAAGATACCTAACTGTTGCATATGTGTCTTACCTAACAACCTGTCGGTATTTTATACCATTTTAATGTTCAATCCACTGTGGTACCCACTGTGGTACCCACTGTGGTACCCACTGTGGTACCCACTGTGGTACCCACTGTGGTACCCACTGGTGGGGTGACGGCTGCGGATATCCCGTAACCTTCTGTCTCCTTCACTTGTTCACACAGTATATCATAATGTCAATCTCACTTTTGTTATGCCTACGTGGCTTTATCAGTGGCATTCACTGGTCAGTAATAACAGTTGTGATATTCACAGTGTGTATAGGTTACTCACTGCTTGTACCAATAAAAAGGAAATGATGCAAAACACACACAATAAAAAAAAGGTAAAATTAATACACAATAAAAACAACAAACATAATGAAAACACACATCACAAATAAGTACCAAGTTAAAATAACCAGCACTGATAAAAGACCCGATTAAATTATTAATGTTAAAAGCCTTCGCTGACTTCCTGGAGATCCCTACTTGGAGGGTGTTCCGGGAGTCAATGCCCCTGCGGCCCGGCCCATGACCAGGTCTCACGGATGATCAGGTACTTACATAGGAATATATCCAGTTCCCTCTTGATAAGACAGCTTGAGGCTTATTGGTAATCACCTTTGTGTATGATGGGAGGCTGCTGAACAATCTTGGGCCCCTGACACTTACTGAGTTTTCTTTTAGTATACTCACGTCATTTTCAGGTGTAGATTATGATGCATCTTTCTCGCCTGCGTTTCCGGTAATGAATGTGCTTGACTAAACTTATACTCTCAGTTCTGGTGCATGTGCGTGTTGAATGCTTACGTGTTCCCTGGTGTTTCCTTCCCTGCAGCATGGTGATGCAGGCGGCAGCAGGAGAGAAAGACTCACCCTCCTCCCCTCTCCAGGAAGTCTTCAACGACTACCAAAATTATGACTACTTCTACGGCGACCCTAACTACCATTACGAAGCAGCCGAAGGACGGTTAGTACACTCGTTAAGGTCATTGTGTGTGACACACAAATAAACTATTAAAAATGTATTAATTTTTTCTTTTGAGACATGCAAATATATTATTAAGAATGAACGTTAAATGTAATTATTTTTTTTACATCTGAACGCTGACAGAAGACATCAGAACAGCATCTGACCTTTGCAGAACACCATCGTATTAAAGACACACATCAGAGACTGCGGGCTCGCACTAATGTAACGTTATTAACCATCACTTAAATTATCAATTATTTCGCGCTCATAAGTTTCATCACTTGATTTTTTTTTTACATTTTAGAGCAATTAAGCGCTATATTTTTATGAGAAAGGGGGGAGTATTAATTCCTGATAATAAAGTACTAAGTGAAGGGGGAAAACCTGGCAGGGCGAGTCCAGTTTCCGTCTGGACGATTAACAGATAGACGAGCTAACCTACAGTACGTACACACACACACACACACACACACACACACACACACCCCGAGCTGAATGACCCATACGGGTTTAGCGCTTCACAGATACATTTCGTAAAAAGTTGCTTGGTTTACCTACACATCTCTTATGATAATTTACTATGATAACTGCTGCTACATTAGTTATCGCTGTAATAACCATTCTGGTTTACCTACAGAAACACAGACGAGGAGAGTGAGACTCGTCAGGAGTACACTGACGTACCACGTCTTGATGACGGTGATGAGGTTGTGTACGCCACACCTCCTGAAGGCGTCAACCCTGTAGACCAAGGTACTCTGGTCTCTACCACTGTTCCTGAAGGCGTCAGCCCTGTGGACCAAGGTGCTCACCACTCTACCACTGCTCCTGAAGGTGGCCACCACGACCAGGAAGAGAAAACTGGTTCATCTATGCTTCTTAACTGGGTCATATTAAAGTGGAACAAGGTACGTTTGAATGGAGAGGGTGCTAGCAGTGAAGCTAGAAGCGGAGGTACTAGCAGTGAAGCTAGGAGCGGAGGTGCTAGCAGTGAAGCTAGGAGCGGAGGTGCTAGTAGTGAAGCTAGGAGCGGAGAAGGTGCTAGTAGTGAAGCTAGGAGCGGAGGGTGCTAGTAGTGAAGCTAGGAGCAAAGAGAGTGCTAGTAGTGAAGCTAGGAGCGGAGAGGGTGCTAGCAGTGAAGCTAGGAGCGGTGCTACTAGAAATGGTGCTAGTAGTAGACATGCTGGTGTTAGTATTCGAGTTAGTAATAATGCTAGACATGGTAGGTGGTTTGGTAAGGTTTGTCAGGAAAGAGAACAAGCATGAAAGTAATGGTGCAGGTAAGGGACATAGTGGTGGTTTTAGTGAGAATGGTAGAAAAGACTGAGACTTAGTGATAACCTTGTCATATGCTTGCATCATCTCATATAAAGAATTTGCTTTTATTAAACTTTCTCGGTTAGCCTTTTACAGCGCTTAGAATACAATGTCGTCCCTAATCGTGGAGGTAAGACACAAAGTATAGACAATGAAGAGTTCAATAGGATAATGTGGTCCATCTCTGAACCTACAGGCGAAGGAGAAGGTACTGAAGGTGGTGGGGGAGGTGCAGGAGGTGAAGAAGAGCGTGACGCAGTTCATGTACAAGTTTGCTGAGCTGATGGATGAGGGAGCGCAGTACTGCATCCACAAGTTGAGATATGCAGCACGGGAGCTCGATGTAAGTCAACTCTGTTGGCCACCTAATATACCTTAATATCTCACTTAATGCTCTAAATTTCAGCTCATCTCTCTCTTTAAAACACACACAATATATATATATATATATATATATATATGTGGAAAAATTTTCTCCAGGAGGGGGGTATCAGCCCCCTTCAGCCCCCTCAGCCCCTTTCAGCCCTGAGGGGCCAAGCCCTCTCAGAAGGGGCGAGCGTCTTGTTTACTGCTACAGTGAGTAATTGATCACAGATGCTATGCTACGTAGTCAAGTGACCTCTGCTCCTTGCAGCGGTGTTGCAAAGCGTATTTTTATAAGAGACAGTACATTTCTTACTTAGGAGGACAATTAAGGAAAATCCTGCTCCCACTTTATTACCATAGTAAAGATAGTGTACATTGTTGTCTATGCTTAAGACAGCAAGAAACAAACATTCTGCTTTGCTTCATCGAGGAAGTGGCAAGGAAGCAAGGAGTACTAGGTCAGCTTTTTTTTGTGCTGGGGGCAGTGACGGCATGGAGCGCTGTGGCGTCTGGCAGACTATCTTTGACTCTAGGGAGAGTGACACTGACGCTTCTGTTGAAGATTTTGGCCTTACCTGCTGTGTTTAAATTATAACTATATATAATGAACACTTAGCTGATAAATGACAGCAAATCGTCTACACAGCCGCCCCTGCAGACGAGGTCTAGAAGCTGTCGAAACCATCACAACATTGGGCTGTCAAGAGATACAATTTGTAAGTATAAATTACCCCTAGGGGGTGTTATGTCAGCATATTTCATTCGATGATGGCTGACGAAATACCTACTTGTTTGGACTCAAAACTCCACACCTTACTGCCGATTATAGGTTGATTACAAACTCCTTGTGACTCAAGAATTGCGCAATCCCCGATCTACAAGAAATTCGTAACATACCTTGCTCTTTGTAACGTGAGCTATGGTGTTCTCAACACCTTCGACAGGTATCGGTGACTTGATAGAAGCTGAAGTGTCCTTGGATGTCCACGTCTTCCATTGTCTAGGAAACGCACACTGGTACACTATGTTCCACAAGATTTGTCTTTATTGTTCACAATGTATCACAAGAGAAGCTGATCACACTTTTCTTATGTTTATTGTGTTTGAGACACTTTGTTCACATTAACGCACAGATCAGTGTTCTTTGCTAGTTATCCTGGTGTCAGTGTCACTCTCCCTAGAGTCAAAGATAGTCTGCCAGACACCACAGCGCTCCATGCCGTCAATGCCCCCAGCACAAAAAAAAAGCTGACCTAGTACTCCTTGCTTCCTTGCCACTTCCTCGATGAAGCAAAGCAGAATGTTTGTTTCTTGTTGTCTTAAGCATAGACAACAATGTACACTATCTTTACTATGGTAATTAAGTGGGAGCAGGATTTTCCTTAATTGTCCTCCTAAGTAAGAAATGTACTGTCTCTTATAAAAATACACTTTGCAACACCGCTGCAAGGAGCAAAGGTCACTTGACTACGTAGCATAGCATCTGTGATCAATTACTCACTGTAGCAGTAAACAAGATGCTCGCCCCTTCTGAGAGGGCTTGGCCCCTCAGGGCTGAAAGGGGCTGATACCCCCCTCCTGGAGAAAATTTCTCCACACTGGGGGGCGGCGGAGGTTCGCTGCAGGTGAACTATTCATCACTTAACATTAATTTGATTTTCTCACTCGCCACCACTGCTGCTTGTTTTTTCTGAACTGCTTTAGTCTGTGTGGTTTCTGGAGAATCACTAATTTTGTTTTCAACACTGTGTAATTCTAACGGCACTAGTTTATTTATTGTCCGTTTATTCACTACACCTTTGCTCAAAACATCAACTGTCCTGATGATTCCATTTGCATCAGGATATATGGTCACAATTTTTCCAAGTGGCCATTGGGACCTCGGACCATCATTGTCAATAATCACTATGTCACCAGGTCTTAAGGACTTATGATTTTCAGGAACACCAGCTCCATAGAAGTGTTCTCTCAATGAGGTGAGATAGTCTTCTCGCCAAATTTTCTCCCAACGTTCAATCACTTTATTAAGGTGTTTGAATTTACGTCTGAGTTGCTCAGGTTCGAAATAAGTAGGATCCTCTATGATTTCTTTATCATTCATGGGAGGAACAGGTTCGAGCCTTCTGCCATGGAGTAAATGAGATGGACTTAACACTTCTAAATTGTCCAGATCATCGGTAACATAAGTTAGAGGTCTGTTGTTGACTATTTTCTATTTCAGTCACAACTGTACGGAATTCTTCTAAGTCTATTCTCTGACGATGAAGAGTCTTCCTTAGACAACGTTTTACAATGCCGATATAATATATATAAAAATATATATATAAAATATATAATATATATATAATATATAATATATATATAATATATATATAATATATATATATAAAATATATATATAATATATATATATAAAATATATATATAATATATATATATATATAAAATATATATATATATATATATATATATAAAATATATATATATATATAAATATATAAAATATATATATATATATATAAATAATAATAATATATATATATATATATATATATATATATATATAATATATAATATATATATAATATATAATATATATATAATATATAATATATAATATATAATATATATATAATATATAATATAATATATAATATATAATAAATATATAATAATAATATATATATAATATATAATATATATATATATAATATAATATAAATATTAATAATATATATATATATAATATATAATATATATATATATATAATAAATATATA